GTTGTGCTCGTGTCTTTTACATCGTTGTTATTTTCAGTACTTGGTGGCAAAAACGTACGTAGATTAGCATCAGTTTCTTCGTTTGGTTTATTGCTTGTGTTAACATTTTGTGGTATTATTGGTTCAATTGTTGTACTTTCGAAATGTTTAACTTCAGTTCCTCGACGACTTTTTGGAGCCGAAATTGTACTCGTGTCTTTTACATCGTTGTTATTTTCAGTACTCGGTTTCAAAAACGTACGTAGTTTTACACCAGTTTGTTCTTCCGATTTATTGCTCGTGTTAAAATTTTGTGGTATTGGTTTAGTTGTTGCACTTTCGATGTTTTTATCTACAGTACCTCGACGACTTTTTGGAGCCGGAGTTGTGCTCGTGTCTTTTACATCGTTGTTATTTTCAGTACTAGATGTCAACAACGTACGTAGTTTTACACCTGTTTGTTCTTCCGATTTATTGCTCGTGTTCAAATTTTGTGGTTTTGGTTTAGTTGTTGTACTTTCGATGTTTTTAACTTTAACGTTTCGAGCTCTTCTTGGTGTCTGAGTTGTACTTAATTTTCTAAAACCTTCTTCACTTTGTGTTGTGTGTGTTCCTGTTTCATCAAATTTGTCTTGAGGATCACCAATACGCCTTAGGCTGCTAGGAGAAAGAGTAGAGGGACCATCTTGTTTGGGTTTCTCAGGTTGGGCAGAAATGTTCTGGTTTTTGTTATTCCACTGATTTGTCAGGTCCTGCTGTCCATTTGTTATTGTTGGTGTATCTCTCTTACGTCTTGGTTTTTCAGTGGATTGGACACCTTTACCATCGTTAGGTTCAGATTTGAATGAATCTGCTTTAATCTTAGATGTATTTATATTGCCATTTTCTGATGTATTCTGATCTTCGTTATCGTCTTTAGATTGCACTGCGTTACTTTTAGTTTGAGCAGTTTGGTCAGTCATAGAAAATGTAGCAATATGTTTGGGACTTTCCGAAGTTTTTTTAACTGTAGGTAGTAAACTTCTGGGATGGTTTGCAGTATTTATAGTATTTCTTAGTATTTCAGTCGTGTTGTCCTTTTCCTCAGTATGTCCTGTAACGGATAAAGTACGACGTTGGGGAGCGGTTGTTGTTGTTGTAGTATTGGAGCGGCCAATGTTACGAGCAATCGTAAAGATTTGCACGCGATAATCAAATCCTCTTAAAAGAGTAGGACTTTGCAGTTGGATTACAACGTTATCTTGGCCTATCCCGCCAGCAACAATAGCTGCGACACCATCTTTGTCGGGACGCATATCAGTAACGACTATTTTATTAATTATTTCACCGTTGGACGCCTGAAATGTCACGTTTTTTTCCTGTCGCCATATAGCAGGACTGGCTTCGTATTTTGCATCCAATGCCTGTTGTCCTGCGTTATCGTTTATTAGTATAATGTCGTTAGTACTGGCTAAGACAATTAAAGCCCATATCACTAAAATTGTAGTACTCATGTTGAATAGACACAAGTTGACTGAGAAAAGATCCCCCTTACTATTCTTTTATAGATAAACTTGTTTAAGGAAAACTCGAGGAAATGAATCACATCACTGTATGAATGTGACGTTTTTTTTTATTTACCCATTTTAATGTTTTTAGGAAAGATTTTTGCGAACAGTCGCGTAGAAAAGTGAAGCGTTTGACATCAGAATTAATAATTTACACATTAATTTAGAGATGAAGTGATTTTTAGAGAATAGTGTGAGTGGTGCATAGACGGGATGACAACATATATAAACAACACTTTTAGACATTCACTAAAACGTAATTTGAGCTTAACGTATAAAATTTTAAACTAACTTGATTTTACGTTCTTAAAACAATCGAATACGCTGTTTTGTATGAAAAGTTGAACTATTATATTGTTATATTGTGACTTCCGAGAATCTAATATTATATTAGTTTGGGCAATGTTGAACTAAGTCCTATACTTAGGTATAATACTTTATGTACGGGTTTAATAGATTCTTTTTTTTTTTTTTTTTTTTTAAACGCACACACTCAACATAGCCCCGCACTAGGGAAACCCTGTGTCGCGGGTGCCATGAACACACACATAGACAACCACAAATTACACCCAAACTCACGAGAGAAATAAATGTAGGCCATACACATATTTCTCTCGGCCTGGGAATTGAACCCAGGACCTCTGCATGGCAGTCCGGCATGGTAACCGTTCGGCCACGGAGGCAGTTATAATAATATTCTTTATAATAGTCTTTGGCTTGCTCTTTTGTTTGCTGACGCAGTAATGTTTTGCGTGGCAATGGTATTTGCCAGGATAAGTAACTTTTACGATATCACTATTGTTACCACAAAGCAGCAAAGCTGTTTTTCGGATTAAGAAAGAGCAAGTGCAATCACATACGCAGGATACTTAGAGCGCTTTCAAATTTCTGTAGCGCATCAGTAATTTTTAGTTCACTAATTGTGACAGTAGTCTCAGTACAGAGTACTAAAAAAACCGATTTCAAAACTACGTGAAATTACGTATAATTACCAAGTTTTGTTGAAATCGGTTACCGGAAAGTGCGCAAACCCGGATTCATCCCCTAGTTCTCCACTATACGGGACTTGACACAGGAGATACTACCCAAAGTATACTGACAGAGAAAAATGCCTTGAATTAGAGAATAGCAAAATCAACCATTAAAATAATTGCTCCTTATAATAAAATTTAGGCGCTATTTATAAAAATTAATCTTCATGCGTGAACAGCCTTAGAGGTGGATGATTTTCTTCAAAATTAAATGGGACCACTATGGAGGACCCTCTTTCCAACAAAAAAGAATCATGAAAATCGGTTCACAAATACCGGAGTTATCGCGTAACATACATACAAAAAAAAGAAAACATAACAGTCCAATTGAGAATCTCCTCCTTTTTTAAAGTCGGTTAAAAAGCGGCGCGCGCGTGTCACGACAATGGCGCTGCAACTGCGCTTCTAAATATTGTATGAAAATTAGTAGCGGCGTGTTGCAGCGCCACAGTGGCGCCAATGAAGCGCTTCCACAGGGTTATTTTTAAAATACTAACTACCTCGCCGGAATTATACAATTAAATAGATCGCTCTAAACGGTACCAAATAACTTTCTGCAGGACGGGAGTGGGAGTCGTCGCGGAGGACGCTTGCACGTTTGAACTTAGGGTATGTTCACATGGCAAGCGTTCAACGCGCGTTAGGTTTTTGAGTACTGTATACATGGCGGGCGATTTTAGGGCGTTGAGCGCGCGTTGCCACTGTTTCAGTGCAATTTGCAAGGCATTAGTTGAAGATGGACGTGGAAACAGCTACAATAAAAAATAAATAACAAATAACCTTTATGTTAATTGTGCTACGTACAAATTAGATACGAGCCAAAAATGCGGGAATTCCGAATCAATTTCACGAGAATTCTCCAATTAAGAGTTATCATATTCCATATTGCAGGACGTTTCTCAACTTCTGTGAATAAAACCATATTAAAGTCTTCGGTACCCATGTCTAGAAAAAAAATCAATTTCAATTGCAAAACACGTCTCACCGCGTAGAAAACGCGCGCTCATGTGAACGGCAGTACGGCAAACCTATGATGATTTCAAAGCGCGCTGACAAGTGCCCGACTACGGCGGCGTTAGTGCGGTGTCAAGCGCGCGTAGGCCTCTCGCATGTTAACCTATAGCCATTTACGTACAAAATTCGGCAAGTTCTAAGCGCGCGTTAACGAAACGCGCGTTGAACACTCGTCATGTGGACATGCTCTTATTCTACCCAATACAGATCTAAAAAGTGTCAGATAGTACAACAAATACTTAAAAGTTTATTTTTGATAAAATTATGTTTGGTAAAGTCATGGAACAAATAAAACTTGTTGTTTATGAAGTTAGTAATATAGTCCTGCGTGGTTGTTAGTATTTCAAAAATAACCATGTATAAGCGTCTAATATTTTGAAGGCGCTTTCAACTATGTCTAACGGCTTTCAACGTATTTGAAGACATCCTTGGTAAGAATGCTTTAGTATAGCAAATGTGTATTGGTAAGTAACTAGTTTCCATGAGATAAATCTATCTGTTTGCCGGTTTGTAAATTATAAAATTAAACACACTTTTATAACCAAAAGTACATAAGATGACTCTAGTTTTTTTATCATACCTTCAATCTGTAGGCGACTGTAGGAAAAGCACGCGCGCTGCATTAAAATTGAGGAACCGACGTAAATAAGACGTTTGTCCTTGTAATAACTGCCATGGTCAATGTCAACACGTTTCTTCTGACCTCATAGTACGACTGCCGCAATATTTTTCACGAAATTTGCTTGATTTTGACAGATAAATGTCGAAATATTGAAATGTACAGGTAGAAATGTATATTGCTGTCTTTACACAACAACGCAGTATTGCAGGATAGGGTTTTATCGTGAATAAAGCATTATCATAGAATAAACAAGCTTAATATTGCATTGGACTGTAGCTACATACACAGCAAAGTGTTACAGAGTCCAACATTGTATAGGTCTACCAGAATTTTGCTATTTGTTATGAGATTCTGGTTTATCAAGGAAGTTTATACGTTATATCGTACCAAATAACTCGACCAAACGGTTGGAGCTCCTGATTGAAGAATTTAAAGTTTTAGTAAAAGGGGTACAAGTAAAAAAGACAACTTTCATATTAATTGATCATATTAACCTTTAACTGTTTTTCGCGTTCGTTGTAAGTTGTCTTTTTTGACTTGTTCCTATTTAACTAGAGTCAGAGAACAGATATATAGTCGTTATATTGGGGAAAAAAATTATTTCACAAAAAAATACTTCGAAACAAATGCAATTAAAATTTCAACGACGAATTCTGCTTACAAGTACCATGGTCATCCACGTCGCTTTGTAATATATGATTCCCTACTTCATGTTTCACCGAAACTTGCTTGTTATTTATGTAATTATGTCACGTTTTCCTTTTATGTAAAATTCCAGATTATTGTTGTGGGTATACGAAGGATGTGCACATTTATGTGGCGAATGGTTAATGAGTGGGATTCTCTGCCTGCAGACTTATTTCCGAATGCTATAACTTAGGCTAACTTAGACGCCCTCGGTCCCTGAAAGGCTCGAGCATTCGCTAGCATTCTTGCGACTGCGCCTGGAGGTAGTATTTCGTCGACGTTTGACTTCACTCTGCGCCTGCTTTCGCGCCGCTTCCCTCGGATTCGTCAGACGTCGCCGACGGCAGCTGCGGAATTCTAGCGAATGCGCGGGAATTTCACGGAAGTCTCGCGACGTGATTTTTGGCTCGTATCTAGTTTGTAAATTACACAATTGACCATAAAGTTCGTTACGTTATGTACAGTATCGTTACAAAAATTCGCTTTTATTTTGTTCCGCCGCAATGTAAATAGAGCCTTAAGTTTTTCTAGGCGAGAGTGAATAGGCATTATTGAAATGTTTATGCTACATCGCCACTTTCCATTTTTTATAAAAAAAAATTGGTTTCTTAGTATAACGATGGCATTATTCTATTGGAATGAAAAAAAAATCCGAAACAAACATTATATTCTAAATATTATATAAACACGGTCGGATTATATAAGGTACAATTTTAGCACAATTTACCAAGGTGCACTATTTAACAGCAAATTGATATTCTAGAGCGCCGTAATTACCGCCACTTACTACCATTCTTAGTACTAATATCAATTTGGTGCTATTTAGTTCTATTTACTTTTCTGGACTAGGTTCACCACAATGTCTGACGCAGTAGTCTGGGCAGGAGCACGGACACACACTTGTCATTTCCAGACCTGATGACATTTTCTTCAAGAATGGGTGGACCTCTTCACTCAGGAATGGTCTGGACAAACATTAGAGTCGGTGTTAGAATTACCTTTTATTTTTGGTTATGTCCAAGGAAATAAAAACTTAAATAAATAAATAAAACGAAAATCATTTATTGCAGACAATACACTGTCCATTTTGTTAGTTCACTTACAAGCTATTATCTATTCTACTTTTAGTACAAAAGTTACAGAATAAAAATAAAATGAATGAAATGATTACATGAATGACTTTAAATTCAAATTATTAATACAAAGATCAAATACAACAATACAATCCTTCGATACGGCTGGACAAAAACAAGCACATATTGAAATTCGTAAAGTCTGCTTCTTCGTTCCATAGCTCTGTTGGGAGAGCGTCAGCCACTTTATGGTGGGCTCGCTGGCCCGTGACCAGCCGCATCGAAGGATTTTTTTTATGTTCGATTTTTGTATTCATAAATTACATCAAACTAGTTGAGTAATTTATCAATCAATAATTGAATATCATAATAGTAAGACATCGTGATATTCAGTAAACTCAAGATTCTATACAACTTCAAATGACTGGTTGATTCTGCATAACAGTGAAAATGTTGAATCAATCACTTGTATATTCTCAATTATATACACACTGACTAGCATACGGTGTGAAAACAGGA